TACTTTGCTTCCGCATGTTCTTTCCTAAATAAGATGCATCCCTTCGGACAAGCATGTATTTGCTCATATGGCATCTTAAGTGCCCGAACCCTGACTAAAGCGGCCCGTGTACATCCACTCACGGTCATCCATCCTCTAACATATCAGCAAGTAATATAAAAATCAATTGCATCTATAGGTTCCTACATGGCGGTCTAAGAGGTGAAGACAGATCCTAATCCCACCTAAGGATGTGTAGATGGGGTTAGTTTCTATGCTCTACTCCTATCCGAGATAGAATTTCAGCAGCACCTCCCCGTTGTTCTCCAAATACACGTCCTTGCTGGGAGATTGTGTATCTAGAGAATAATAGGGAGATGCTGCCGAAACTCTGTCTCGGATCGGAGTAGAGCATGGAAACTAACCCCATCTACATATCCTCGGGCTGTCCAAAAAACGTGGACAATTCAAAACAGATACGGTTATAGATATGCAAACATCTGCATATTTCCAACCGTGTCTCTTTCGAATGGGAGACGCCTAGCTAGGTTACGTGATATACGAACATCATATAGAAAGAGGGGTGTATGATGCCTCACCTTGCTGTCTTGCAAAGTGACGAGTCAAGGATGGTGGGGAATGATCTTTACAATAGTCTCTCCTACAACAAACAAACATAATAGTGTCAATTGTAAATTTCGGCAGCACCTCCCCTGCACGGTGAGGTAACCAAAACCTGCAACAAATCAACGGCACGATGGCTGACATCCACATACACACCAAACCAACGGCACAATGTCCGACAACCACATACACATCTTATACCTTGCAAAACCACGACAGGTCCAAGGTGGGGGCGACGGGAGGGCACGGCGGACGGTGGCGGGAGGGCAGGGCAGGGCAGGGAGCGGCGGCCATGTAATCTATTAAAGATAGCACCACAGTGAGTCACATAGAAGTTTAGCTAAATTCAAATGATTAGAAATAAGTGATCCTAGATTACATGAAAGGTATTGCTAAAATTACATACCTTTTTTTACTCCTTAGCCTTTACTTATTTGGGATCAGTTCTTCGTGACGATTCCTGAAAATACATGGTAAATTTCTATTGGAATAAGTAGTACTGAAACTGAAGCAATGCAAATTGACATAGCACCACATATAGTAATCTGTGTGGGGGCACTCATGAATGAGCATAGTTTGGGGATCGAATACAAGGCCCTTTTGCTTTATGTGCAGGAGTATCACAGTGTCTACCTATTCTTTGGCTGCTACGACAAGAGGATGAACAATACCTATTCTTTTGCTGCTACGACAAGAGGATGCCGTAGCGCCAGGAGCCTGCTGCCGCGCTGGGACCCCGTGTCGCTTGGAGCCCGCTGCCTTGCTAGCTCGCTGGTTGCAGGGATCTACGCCGGTGGCCTGCCGCACAAGGGACCTGAGCCGGTGGCTTGCGCGTCGCCGCTCGTGCCGGCGACCCGAGGCCGACCACACCCACATCTCGGTAGGGGGCGGTAGGGCAGGGCAGGGAGCGCAGGGGCGGTGGGGGTCGGGTGCGCAAGGGACCTGAGCAGGTGGCTTGCACGTCGTCGCTCGCGCCGGCGACCCGAGGCCGGCCGCACCCACGCCTCAGCAGGGAGCGGCAGGGCAGGGCAGGGAGCGCCGGGGGCGGGGCTCCGGGAAGCCGGCGGCGGGATGCCGGGGGCAGGGGGCGGTGGCGGGATGCGTGTGTGCGTGCGGTGCGTGTGCGTGTGTGCGTGCGGTGGTGTGTGTGTGGGTGAGGACGGCCTGGGGTGGTTATCATGAGGTTTGCCGAGTGCCCGTGATCTAGCACTCGGCAAACATATTTTGTTTTTTTTCATTTTCAAACCTAAAAATACTATGATTGTGTGGGGCCGGTGGGGGTTTGCCGAGTGTCCCAGGTCTAGCACTCGGCAAACGCCAGCTTTGTCGAGTGCCATATAATGGGCACTCGGCAAACCTATATTTTTATTTTCATTTTCCTTTTTCTCCTTCTTTTTCAGGCCGTGTTTTTCTCAATTTGTTCCGATGTACTTTGAAAATACCTTGTCAAATTGACTCAACAATATATATTTGATTTTTCTAGGAATATTATTCCATTATTTTATGCAGTTATAGCTCAAATTTAATTTATATCAATTAAAATTCTATAATTGCACTTAATAAATTAAAATTATCAAACGGATCAAAAAAATTACCAAAATTTCACATGAAATAATCTATGTTCTCTATTGCATATACAAAAAGTTTTGAAGCCAAACCCTAATTCGACCGTCACTTTAACTCTAAATCTTACCGAATCCTTCTCAACGCTACAATTCTTCTTCTGAGATGCTTTGGTTTGTAAACATCGTACGTGACAAATTGTACGAAACCTTCTCCATTTTTTACCACAGCCTCCATGTTTGATATCATCACATCATGATAAATCTCATGATTTTCAGACTTCGTTTGCTTTTTTTAGTTTAAAAACCATTCGGCCGCATGTTCGTGGTCGTGTTTCCTAAACAAGATGTTTGATTTTTTTTTCATTTTCTGGGTAAGGCCTCACAATGGAGTTAATAACATGAATATCATTTTTCTACTCATTTTATTCTATTATTTAAATCACTTGCAGTTCATATTTGACTTATACCAAAAAATTCCTTGAAATACAATAAATTAATTAAATATAGCAAACAGGTCCAAAAATATACCAAATCTTAACATGTAGTACCACATGTTGTATGTGGAGAGCAGAAAAAGTTTCAAGGTCAGAAGAGAAAAAAACTTGTTTATTTACCGAGTGCCAAACAAATACACTCGGCAAACATATTTCTTTGCCGAGTGCCAAATAATTACACTCGGCAACCTTGTTTCTTTGCCTAGTGCCAAACAAATACACTCGGCAAACATATTTCTTTGCTGAGTGTATTTGTTTGCTGAGTGTTTACACTAACGGACACTCAGCAAACGTACTAACGGACGGCACACGGACTAACGGTTATCCACTTGGTGGTTCTTTGCCAAGTGTTTTATTTCTGGTTTACCGAGTGCCAAACTTTATCGAGTGTTTTTTGCCTTTTTTGCCGAGTGTTTTTTTAAAGCACTCAGCAAAGAGCTTCTTTGCCGAGTGCCTGATATAATGCACTCGGTAAACAATCTTGCACTCGGCAAACACCCAGTTTCTGGTAGTGAGTGCTCATGTTTGGCACCATGTACCAAATGGGCCAGGCCACACTGAGATTGTGTTTGATTCTCTTCATGCAGCTGGGCTGAAGGGACCAACTAACTCCAACTACCAAACTGAGATTGTGTTTGGTAGCTGGGTAGCTCGGCCTAGCCCATAGTCAGGAAGCACAAATGAAGTAATACATGGATAGAAGAGCAATTCCAAATGAAACATAGATGGACATCCATTACAATAACAGTTTAGAATTAAACCATACAACTGGTGTTGTTAGAACTAATAGGCCTCAGACTAATAATCAATTCATCATTAGCTACCATAGCTGGCTCCAAGGTTACAAAACAAGTAAGAACGTTGCAGTTGTGGCATATGCAGCCACCAAAGGCAAGGGCGGCGTGTTTGATAAGGTGGCAGAGGCAAATCACAGAAATGGACTACACAAAACAAAAACATGGAGCCAGCTAATCCTCCCTTTGATTGAGTCATCATCGGCCTAAGTCCCGCAGTTACATTTGGTGGACATGGACAACCTGATCCAAAGACCAAACACCAGCATGAGTAAAGTGATAATGACAACATCATGGTTACCAGGATGAGGAGGGATGGTTTCACAACCATCATTGGGGAACAGCTTAGTAGGTGATGCTACTGCTCCAAATGAGGAATTGAAATCACTCACAGCAATGTCATAGTTATTGTACTTCTTGTAAATAACATTTTTGAAGCCAAGTACTTGTTCATTCCACTCATGCCAAGTCATGCAAATCCTAGGTTTCTCCCCCTTGAAAACAACGTAGCAAGGTCCCATTTCTGTGTGAAATCATAAAATTGATTAGCCTCAGTCACAGGTGAGACATGAAACAACCCATGAATGCGGCATTGAAGATCTTGGGGTTGATACATGAAACTACCCATGATCCTAAATGCCACACTGATGAGGTGGTTCATCATGATCAAATGAAACTTGTTTGACATCACAGGCTAGAAAAAATTGAGGCCTCAGTTTTAGAATTTGGTGCTACAATTTAGATGAACCCAATCATAGGCGGCTATACCCAAATTAAGAAAACCAACAAGGCAAAGGAGGCAAACAACAGAAGATGCAAACAAGTGGAAACCTAAGATCATGACTGCCATGGAACCCTTGCGCACGTCCATTCACTGCCATCAGCTAAGTAAGAACCTGCTATTGCTAGGGAATGGGCGTGTTGCACGGGTTGGATGACACCCATGAAAAAAAAACCAACAAAAGCCAACTATTGTACAACCACCTCATGTTTTACTATCCACTTTGCATCATAGGCCAGTTAAAATCCCACAACAAGCACCAAGTCATAGAAACAATTACAACAGCAAAAATTTTTGACTTAAGCAAATGGAATAAATATCTGCCAACACAAATGATAGCAACCAAAGTAGCCAACAGAGGCTACATATGAATAGAGATGGTGCATTACAAATACCAGGTCTGCCCTGCAGTAATAAAAGAGTTCCATGTTGCCCATGGTCACCTATAGTTAGCCACCCTCCTACTAGAATAACCCAAAAGGACAGGTGTGAATCAAGCAACTAACCTGCACAAAAGCTACACCAAAGTGTAATTTGGAAACAAAAGGTGAGAGAGTGGGTGAGGGAGGTGGAGGAACTATACATCTCAACTGTCATCCCCCTCTTTGGCCATGCAGACCAACATGTAGTGCATCTACATGTAGTAGTTCTTGGATAGGTGGTTCCTAAGCCAAATGGTCCTATGGCTATCACTCATGTTGACAAAGCCCCTGCCTTGGGCCTTGTTGTCCAACAGGTAGGTATAGGCAACTATGAGAACCTCCTAAGAAAAGCCATACATCTCCATGATAACAAGGTAGAGGTTAGCATCAACATGGGCTGGTCTAGTCTCCCTAAGTGCATTGGCAACATTGTTGACATCATCTGTCATGTTGGTCATCAAAAGCATCTCATCCTCACTAAAGTTGCCTCTCTTCCTCTTTCCACCCACAACAGAGTTGAGCAGCTATGTAGCCTTGCTGCCCTCACCAACTTCAGTGTTGGTTTTCTCCTCACAAACATGGTTGGAGGCAGAGCCCTCAGCCATAGCAGCCATACTTTCAGCTTGGTTAACCCAAAGAGCTTCACCAGATCCTACAACAAACTTACTAGTGGCCATTGCATGGCCAAAGATAGCCTCCATCTCTGAGTAGAACCTTATAGGAGTGTTTAGAAAGTCTGCATCTTTAGGATGGTCCTACAACAGGGGATACAATTAAAGAAAACTAATTGGAAGACATCGAAGAGGTAGAGGTAGGTAAGACTTAACTGTTCTACCTTGCAGTGCGAAAGGTAGTGCTCTCCCTCAAGCATTATAGCATTTGTATCAGTGTCAAACAAGGCTCCACTAAGGTATTTAAGCTTACAGACCCTAGACCACTTCTGCCTCCACTTCCTTAGGTGGTTGTACACCTGAGTTGGGCTCAAATCCTCCCCACTATACTCCTTAAGGGCCTTGGCTACATAGTTGACAACCTTGTCTTTAAACACCTTGTTAGGCCTACTACCATCACTCACTAGCTGTGCCATCCTTCTAAGCACAAAGCCTGAGGTGTTGTTGTTCCACCTCATGGGCCTAGCACCCCATGCCGCCCCCTGGACCTCAACACCATCACCACCAACAGCTGGTGGTGCACCAGCACCAGCAGCAACAGCTACCACAGCAGGACCCCCAGCAACCTCATTGTAGAGGTTAGCAGCAGCCACAAACCCACCCTAACAAGCCATCACATTCACAGCCTCTGAAGCCATCCTATTTGTTTAACCAAGGAGACAACAAGTACATTACAGTCAAGAACTTATAAGTAGACATGCCCAAGTTCAAATCAAATGGTTGTGACCATGGGACATACCCATGCGTAGCAACATCATATTATTATAAGTAGACAAGCCCAAGATGAAATCAAATGGTTGTGACCATGGGACACACCCATGCAGTAGCAATAGTATACTTGTTGTATGCTAATGGGACTGTATGGATGTATCTCACGGTCACAGACATGGTAAACAAACCAATTGGCAGAACCATCAACAAACAGGCAACAATAAACATTTGAGATAACAAATACTTGGTCTCAGCCATGTCCACATTCATTTATTACATAACCATCCATACAACCATGAGTTCCATAGTAGGGTAATCAAACGGAATAATACAACAAAGTAAATGCATGATCAAGTCCTAGGGGTACCCCTTCCTCCCCACATAGCATTACAGATGGCATCCCTCCTAATAGGCATGAAGATAATTGCCTTCATTTAAAGGTTGGCTATGAAGAGGATTAGGTTGGTTGGGTATCCATTCCTCCTCAGTGGGCACCACTGGGTCAGTGCCAAATCCTAGAATCCAATTGTGCAAAATGTAGCAGGCCAAAACTAGTTTGACCTGTGTCTTGTATGGGTGGAAGGGTTTGTTGTCTAGCATACGAAACCTATTCTTCAGTGCACCAAAAGCCCTATCCACTATGACCCTAAGTGAAGAGTGCCTTAGGTTGAAAAGCTCTCTTGCATTGCTTGGGTAGTTTCTGCTTCCATATTCGGACAAGTGGTACCTGACCCCCTGTAGGGGTAGCAATCCACTGCGGCATGCATAACCAACATCTACACGGTAAAATTTACCTACAAGTGTACCACAGTGTGTGTAGAGTGAGTGTGTGCCATGTTAAGGACATATGTGCATTTACTAGGTAGTGCAGTTACCTTCTGGGACAGTGAACCCATCATTCCTCTCAAGTGCATCAGCCAAGATAAGTGCACAATGGCCAGAGCCCTCCTAGCCAGCAAGAACATATGTGAACTTGAGATCAAAGTCCATAGCAGCCATGACATTTTGTGTAGGGTTGTGTGTCCTACCCCTGAAAGCCTTTTGCATGCGTCTAGGCACCCTTGCCAACACATGTGTGCCATCAATGACACCAATGCAGTCCTAAAAAATAGTTGAGACAATAGTCCATGTGAATGTGCACATCTACCTAAGGCAGAAACATGTGAATCACAAGTACCTGCATGAATGGATTCCATTTATGGCTTCCAAGTATCTTTGGGTGGATGGCGATGGAAGGAGGCTTGATCATTTCATTCCTAAGTTCACCAACAACATACAACACCTAATGGAAGTGCCTATGTACTATCTCTATGGACCTCCTAAAGGACTGGTGGACAACCCTAAACCTTTGGTTGTGACCAATGACATGAAGGAACATTGCAACCTGCTCCTCAACTGTGCATCCTTCTGTTTTAGGTACAAGGCCCCTATATCTAAAAAGGTTGCATAAATAAAAAAAAGGAGCTCTGGTCATTCTAAGCATAGATAGACACTCTACATTAGTGGAGTTGTAGATGAGATTAAGGGTCTGCTATCTATGCTTTTTAGCTTCTTCCCTAAGTGTCATCATCAAAGGGCCAGGTTCACATTCACCCTTCTCCTTTTAAGCCTACTGGTTATAAAGGACACCATGACAACAACTAGGGTAGCTGCTTGTCTACCCATCACCTCACGGCTCTCCGAGGGATCCATCTACATGCATATGACATTAAAACATGAACTCAGTTCAACATACCCTGTCTGTCTTCAACATGGAAGTACAGTGATTAAAATAGCTAAGTAGGCACGGCTGCATGTAGGTACATGCCTCTAAGTGCCTTGGACAACATCATTGACCAAAAGAAAAAAATACAGGGCCAACCAAACAACCATCAAGAACCAACGGAGCCATCATTAGCAGAGAACACCGAAAACAGTAAGCATACCATCATGTCATGCCAAATAAACAACTGTACAAACGACATGGAACAAACACCGAATGAAACCCTAATCCAGGATGAGCTAGCAACATGTACACATATTAAACGAACAAATCATCACGAGCAAGTATGATAGCAAACCCTAACATCATTGCCATCACAGAATAGGGGGGATTGGGGATCGATTTCACCTTGGGGTCGTCGACGGAGAAAAGAAGAGGCGCAACACGGAGAGGAAGAAGACCAAGCGACGAAGAGGAAGCAGATCTCGACGGAGAGAATGCAGATCCGGCTGGGAGAACACCAACCGCACCAACGGAGCACGAGCAAAAGGAAGAAGATGACCGCCTCCCGGAGTCCCAGCAAGGAAGACCGTGCGGCGCCACGTCGGTGCAGATCCCTTGAGGGGGAACAAAGAGGAAGCCCGCTGGGGAAGAACGCCGCCTTGTCGGACACCACACCTCAACACCACCGCTGGTATCTCACGGGAATGGGTGGGGAAGGAAGGGAGAAGAAGGGAGGGAGCGCAGCGCCGGGCGGCCGCTTATAAAGGCAACAAGTTTCACCGGAGGAGGGAGCGCGTGCAGAGGTTTCAACCTTCCCGCGCGAGCCACCCGCCGCCGCCCGAAATCACCCCCAAATCGGCCACCTCGCGCCACGCAGAGCCACGCCCTAGAAAAATGAAGGGGGATTTCGTTTCCCTGGAGCCAGGCGGAGGGTAGGGTTTTGCACCACACGAGCCGGGCTGGGAGACGGGCCAAGGCCATCAAACACGAGCACTGTAGCCCAGGGGCGCAGCCGGGCCGTCGGGCCACCTTATCAAACACACCCCTATAGTACGATGTCAGGAAACCGAAGCCACGCACCACCATGCCAAATAGGGCCTCACTACTTGTACTGAAGCTTCAACTGCTTTCGATACTCTGCCAACTAATAGAGTTTGCACTGCCGTTTTTCATTGGACAGCTTGGCGTAGTCTTCTCTAGTATGCCACGAGGTTTTGGAAGAATAGATGCCCCATTCAGCTCTCAAGTCATTTTTTCCTTGCTCTACAACACATTGTTACTAATTACTGTAGTTTGATTAATTGTTAGCCCAATCTCAGTAGGAGTTTTATTATAGTTTTACATGTATTTAATAAGCTGCCATATAAGCGCTTTTGATGATGTAGCAACGTTTTTAAGAAGAGCAAGAAAAAGTGAGTTTCATGAGGATAAAAACTCTCTTGGTATTATTACCAACTCTCTATGAGTTATGAAATTAAATGTCTATAAAACAAAAATAATTTACATTGAGAGTGCGTGTTTCAGTCATCTTTCACTCATTTTATATAACATGGCGTCCATAAAACTCCTCACTGAGACTGGTTGTTAGATTAATTAACACCATTTGCATTGAAGGCTAATGGGGATAGTAAAAACCATCAATGCCATTATTTTTTGGTAACATCTGCAGAAAACACCAAAGCTATCCACTCACTGAAACATATACTTAAGCCAAATATTGTGGTACATTCGCATTATTTTTCATCTTTTGACATTACAAGGTTGATGAGACTACTTTGGTATCGATACAGTTTCATGGGAAAGCTAGGTGTTACGTGTTACCTACCACATCAGATGAAAACTCTTTTTCATCTATATATTGACTTTTCATTCCTAAAACAATGATAGATTGATAGGTTCCATCCTCATCCAAAAGACGAAAGGAGCATTGCTCACGCCTCAACAAACACGCACTAAACATTTCCTTGAACTTGAACAAATACAGAAATCTCTATAGCAGTTTTTTCATAGTACATAAACAGAACCATATTAGATTGATGACCACATAAGTACAGTAAATTTCAGCAATGGAAATATCTACTTACGGGGAGTCATAATATTTTCTGACAAGCAGATAGAAAATTCAAAATGTCGCCACTAGTTCCAACATCAATTGCAGTTTCTGTTAATAAAATCTATAAATGAAGGACGATTCTTAAAAATAATGTAAACTGCAGTAGCAGCACAAATGTCTAGTTACACCAGTATATTACTAGGCAAAACCAGGAGTGTTCCTTTTTTTCCTGTTCAAATTTCTAACTATATGCAACATAAACACTTCTGTAATATGAATATGAATTTTAGGACGTGTACGGTGTGTGGTTGTCGGACTAGGACCTGTGTGTCTGTGAAACATATTTGATGTCTCTGAAAATAATCTAATCCATAAAATGTGGCAGGCCCCATTCGCTAGGATTGAATTTCAATAGTGAAGTTAGAACTTGGTCAGCTCCTTTGTGATGTGAAACATCTAGCCTTGAATCTGGGACCATCACCACGTGCCTACAAAAAGATAAAAAAATGTAAGTTTGCTATCAAAGGGTGCCAAAATAAGCCAACACAAAAATCGCTTACATTCCTGAAGTTTTGGCTGCTGCCACACCCAACGGTGCATCTTCAAATACCAAGCAATTACTGGGTTCTACATTACCCTGAAGATAATGCGACGGCATCAGGGGAGAAAGGAAGCAGCATTCTAATAGGACGTAGCAAGTACATTTGTTCCTATATGGTCGTTCCAATACCTCAAATCTCCTCATAGCAGCAAGGAAAATATCAGGAGATGGCTTTCCCGCCTTCACTTCTGGATCATCCCCTGTGACAATATGATGCATCAGGGAAAATATGTCCTGGTGGTTTTGTGTCTTTAGTGCAAAGTGATGTTTATGGGTTCTGCAAAGGCACAGCAAGCAAGATCACTCATGGGATTCTAATTTGTAAAAAATTAAAAAGCAGTAGGAGCTGTTGAAAATTAAGACTAAATGGATCATAAAATGCCAAGAAATTACCCTGTTGCAACAGCTATCGGTACTCCAGTTGTATGGAGAAGATGGATCAAGCGTTGCACACCTGCAAGAAACAATTCATCTTTCAGGCAGTGTAAACAAACCTATATACATATCTAATTCACCATGCTACACACTAGGGATATTCTCACGCCTTGAAATAACAAGCAGCCAGAAGTCAATTCAACTTTTTAACTAAAAAAAAATCAGTAGTGCAAACAAATTGGTCTGTACTTACTTAACTGGACATAGTGTAACACCCCATGTCCAAATTCTAGTGTGCCGACAAATGACACCAACGAGTAGGAACAATAGTAAATAAAGTAGAAACGTGGCATTTGCACACTATAAATTCAAACAAAAAATCCTTCCTACTACTGCAATGCATGACGTTTCTCTCTCCTTTTAGATGTCATTTTTCTACAACAAATGTACAGGCCAAACAAATTACGATGACAGTGTACTCAGTCATGCAATCATGTCAAAATGGTGATGTAGTTTTTGCAGAAGCAGAGACATCTTGCTCACCTGGCATGGCAACGCAGGTGGGCAAGAGCTTCTCGAGCATGGTCTCGCGCTCCTCGAGGAACTGCTCCGGGGTGAGCAGGTCGGAGAGGCCGAACTCCTCAAACAAGATGCGCGTGGACTCGGCCGTGGTCTTGCCCATCATCTTGGCTTTCACGGACCAGTCGAACACCTTGCCGTACCTCTCCAGGATCTTCTCCTGCACCGTCGTGTAGAACCCCTCCGTATCTGCACCCGCACGCAATGGAGAAATCATCGTGAAATTGGGAGAAGAACATCAGCCAGCGGCCAAAGAAACAGTGGAGGGGAGCAAACGGGGAAGTGGGGGAGAAAAGATACCGAGGAGGAGGCCGTCCATGTCGACGATGACGTGCGAGATGACCGCCCTTGTTTGCGGCGCCGGCGCGGGCATCGTTTCGCCGGCGTCGGCGGATGGCATTGGCGCGCGATGTGACGCGAAAGAGATCTATTGGTGTGGAGATCTCGTCTGATGATTGGGGCTGGTCTTCGTTGTTCTGCAAGAGTGAATCTGCAGGCTCCAGTCGACGGCGGCGCTTCAAATTGGGGGTTGACCTCAGCGAGTTGCAGGCCGGGCCGAGCTGGACTATGATCTGTGTCTGACTTTAAGGTCCAAGCAAGGTCGAAATGCGTTACAAGTCTGGGCCGCCGCGTCGAGACCAATAAGTTGAGGTCAAATGATCTAATCTGATTTAGGGCCGAAAGGAAGGAAAACTCAATCGGTTTAGCTCTAAGGCCTTCTACAGTGTGAGTAAGGCCTAAAACTGTACACGGCAGCCCACGTTGTTGTGATGCTTGTTTCAATCCATCCTCACGGTGTGTAGCTTCACTTCTATCCATATGAAATGCCATGCTGATCCTTCAAGCCGGTCCATGTCTGCATGTGGGTCCTTTCATTTTGTTTAATGTTCAGTCATCGGATCCTATACTTGCTTGGCTCCCAAAATTTTTGGCAGCGGCATCACTTGTCGCAGTGTCAAGAGTGATGATTCTTGAATTGTCTCTCTCCTATTTAGGCTTCACTTGAAGCACACACTTGGGAAGACCTAAGCCAATTTCTCCAATAGTACTAACTTTTATCACGTAGCTTTTAGTATGTATAGCCCCACATGACACTCACATAATCTTGAAATATGTGCAAGAGTTTAGCTCTTGATCAAGAGCAAGCCCCACATAACACTCTCACGTAATCTTAAAATATGTACAAGAGTGAGCTAGCTTTTCTCTCTCTTCTATTAAAATATAAGAAAAAGCTTAAAAGTCAGGTGTTGGATCTGCCCTTGTTGCTTTTGACTATGCTTATTAATCGTGCTTTGAATGTTACTTTTTCATTACTATATATGCTACATAGTCCATATGACCTATGTTATATAGTATATTTGTTTTTAAACTATGATTATACCGAGTTTAGTTGTTTCAATTGATAATAACCAGCTTTTAAAGTTATTGTTGAAAAAACTTACTGTGATAATTTTTTTGTTCCTATAGTTATTATCTCAAAGTGTCTACGATATCATTTTGGAACCTACTGTTTTTGTTTTTGACCATAGGAGATGTGCTCCTATCTCCCACGGTTATAACCATGAGGTTTAGGGATAGAAATGAACCGGATGGACCCATTATGTAGTCGACCCGACTCATATATGAAAGGTTAATGGGTCATAGGACTCTGGCCTTAAACTCTAAAATAGATTGATAGAGCCAGAACCTATCTATGTATTACTCTTATAAAACAAAATCCCACTACCATATTTCTCTGCAATTTCTTAAAACCACATCAACTTAAGGGTCCTACCAAGACACTAACCTCCATCCATTCAGTCCTCGAGGCATCCAATAGGTCAATAAAACTCTGTCCATCCTCCATCCACCAAGCGGTTGTCAAGGCATCCGAAAGGTTTGCAGTTTGCATTTGCTATGATGTCTGACTCCTAATAATTGATCATCCTCACGCGGATTACATGCATGAAACGGAAGCCAATACGCGGCTCAATAAAGGATCATCCTCACATGGATTATATGCATGAAACGGAAACCAATACTGCTTCCCAAATAAATGAAACACTTAGGTGGGAATGAAACGTCACTTTCCATGAATAAAACCTGTCAGATTTTCTCATGTGCGGCCTTGGGGCCCCTCCAACCTCCCCTTTCAGGCTGTCGTTTTATGCACGAGTACTTTTTTTTTTTTTGGTTCGGGGAAAAACTTTTTAAAGGTGTCTGATCTTGTCTATATTGTCCGAAGTAGCCTTTGCTTGTCAAAGTAAGTGAAAAGGGTTTCTAAAGGCTATAGCTCAAGTATGCATGGAATAGCACAGGGTTATCCGCTTTATTATCTGGCTTATCTGCTTGAGAAAAGTGAACTCTTAGCTTTAAACCTACTTTGTCTTTGTATCTTAGCCCTTCTAGCTCTAGCTTAGGGGCTATCATGGACCAACGTCTCCTCTAGCAAAAGAGCTATTAGAACCAAAATAGCTATCTGACTGAAGTGTACTGTTGTCCAGAATTTTTTTCCATAATTTTAGGTCATCTAAGAACAGAGATATAAGCCAATAAAAACATATTACTCCCAAAAGACAATAGGGAAAACAGGAGATAAACAAAACTTATCTATTTATTACATTAATCCTTATGCCTTAGGCCTATGAATAAAATAAAATTGTGGGAACACCCAACAAGATCATTGCAGTCATTACAAAGATGCAAAACAATCATAAGCATAATGACAATTCAACAAAGCAATAAAAATGCACAACTCAATCATTGACTCAACTCGTGGTACAATCATAAGTCCCGGATGGTCACTTACAGATAAGTCCTTAGGGAGAGGAATCTCTTCCACACCATAAAATATGACTTCTTCCCACCACTGCTCTTCTTTTGGGTTGGGTAGCCCCTTGTTCCATGTTGCTAAAAGTATCTTTTAATGTTTGTCCTTCCCTACATATTTCATTAGTCAAGTTATGTCATCATGGCTTGAGTTGAGTCACTAGCATCATACTACCCTTTCTAATGGAATTACCCTCCTTATAGGTAACAAGGCATAAGGTAACAAAACTTCACTAGGAAATCCTTAGTGGCGTGGAATGTGACAATGTAGTAGAATTTGAATGTTGACACATTACAATATGTATTAAATGATTAAAGGTGTATATTGGACAACAAGAAATATCCCACACCTGCATTGGACTTCTTCTTCTAAGCTTACCTTTTGGTATGTTGGTTTAAACACCGATCCTTTTCAAGGTAATGAATGCTTTAATCTTCAACGTCCTTCTTCTTCTTCTTGATTACCACGTATACCTCACCGACTGGACGTAATCGTAGAACACCACACAAACATCCATACACATACATGCATAGCATACAATTACATCTACATTAGAACAATACACCAATTATAGAAAAATGAGTAAAAGAGTTTGAAACATGATTCTACGCATCGCTAGGAACACACAGTCGTGAGAGACACGCTAATCGGAGCTACAATTTGAATGAAACGGCTTCCGAAAGATCTACTCATAAGAGAAAATATAAAACTATAAGCTTCATGTGTTTTAACTATATAAAATCTTATATAAATTGATTTAAGTTAAATTTAGATTTAAATTTTAAAACTAAGGTAAAACAAATCATATTTTATTTATAAAATCTAATTGCATAATTATTATCCAAATTAGAGTTTAAACCATGAAATTCCAGAAATAGTGACATGATAAACATTGTTACAAATGCATAGATCTCTCCGTAATGAATCTAGCACGACTTGAATGGGTCAATTCGGAGCTAAAACGTAGAAGATATGATTTAAACAAATTTTCTTTAATAAAATAATAGATTAAATCTAACCTTGAATTTTAAAAGTTGAAAACATATCTAACAGTAGGATGAACATGTAGATTATGGAATTATGAACCTAACGCAAGTTGAATGGGTCAAATCAGAGTTAAAACGACAAAGTTATAGCCTAAAGAAATCTAATGGCAAAACTGTAAATAACCGAAAACGTATTTTTGAAGTCAACTGAACAAAATACGCCTTTAAAAAAAGAAGACATAATCTATGGAATACGCAATGAACCGTGGGTTCTAATAGAAGAATGGCCAGGGGCTCTTTAGAGTAAAATCAGGGACGACGGGTTTATACTCAAAAAGCTATAGGGGGTTTTCTGCAAAAAGGCCATGGCGAAGGGATACCGGTTGATCTGGACATTGGATTAGATGTAAACAACCCTGATTAGAAGTGGGGAGGGAAAGAGGAGAACCGGCTAGAACAGGAAGGGCGTCACGGTGGAGGCCATGGCGGTGATGAGCATCTCACCAGCGCGCACAGCTAGGGCCCTAGGGACCATGAATCAGCTCGAGAAAAGCATCGGGGTGCATAGCTCATGCCTGCAATAACGATGGGGGTAGTGGTTGAAGCAGGGGATAGACGGTGATGGCGGCACGCGCTAGCTTGTGGCTCAGGAACCCTGGCGATGGCGCGCGAACAGAGAAGGAAGAAGAGAGGGCAAAAGCAAAGCACCGGGGCTTCATTACCTCACGACGAAGACTAGAAGACGACTCTGATCAACAATGGGGCATGACAGCGGTGGTGTCGCATGTGGCGGCGATGAGCTAGGGCTCCACGGTGGCGGTGCAGCTTGAGCGAAGGCGGCGTGCTCTCAGGTTTAGGGAAAACGGCGAGGGTGCTCGGCTGATACTTATTGTGCGGTCCGGCTTGCAGCGTACGCAAGTCGACGGAGCGGGGTGGAGGCGAACTCTACGGCGGTAGAGTCCATGCCGGAGACGACGACGAGGTAGAAGAAGCGAGTGATAGGTGGGTCCCACCGGTCAGTGAGAGAAGAGTCACGGTCACATCGTTAGTGAGAGAAGGGAAGCGGGCGGCGTCCACGTTGGGCCGGTGCACGGCTTGGGCCGATGACGTGCGGTGGAGAGGCTTAACTGGCTGCAGAGAAATGGGCCAAGAGAGAGAGGGAAGCAACAGTGAGGCATCAGCTGGGCCGTAGCTGCGTTGACTGGCGAAGGGCCGAGAGGTCCGAAGGAAGAGAGCTGGGTCGTTTGGCCACAAGAGGAGGGAAAAAGATTTTCCAATTTCAAATCCTTTTCTATTTCCTATTTCAAAACCAATTTCAATTAGGAATCAAATCAAGTTCAAATATTATTTCCATTATACTTTTCAATTCGAATAAAAATGAGAGATTTTGGTAAGTTTTCAAAAATAAAATTTCCCAACTTTTTAAATTCTTTTCTTTTCTAATTTTCTTTTCTTTTATTTCAAAACTATTTTCAAATTTATTTCCAAAAGCAATTAAACCCATTTTGAAACTTGATTCAAACCACACAATCAATAAATCAATTGCACCGGCATGTATGCATAAACATGTTGCTACCTTATAATAAATTTTAAATTAATGAAAAT